TTGTTTCAGCCTGCTTTTTTGTTTTATTTGGTTATGTCTGAGCAGACAGCTGCGTGTTCTTTGTTGTGTGCTCGTCTGTGGGCACGATACTTTTCACCTCCTCCAACTGGCAGTGTCAGTTGCTCAAATATGGTACAGCAGGGTAGGTCTAGCTGAAGAGGAGTTTCTGGGATGGGTTGTTTGTGGCACATACTAGGGCCAACAGGGCTGGCTGGTAATCAGTGCAGGGCAGGTTCTGGTAGGCCGTGTCTGGGCTGCTTGGGGGTGTGATGTTCAGCTCACAGTGCAGGTAGGCAGGATGGAGGGTGGAGACTGTGATATGTGGAGCTAAGATGGGTATGGGAAAGAGGAGAGACAGGAGAGAAGCACAGGTGCCAAAAACATACAAACAAAAAAGAACGCTAAGCAAGCTTGCCATTGGAGTGGAGAGATGAGAGACTGAGAAATGGAGAAAAACAAAAAGGAGAAGAAAAGAAAAAAATGAATAAATAAAAATTAGAAAGAAAAAAGAAAATCAAAGCCCCCAGGGATCCCACCAGTGCAGCTGCGAGGTCTGAGGAAGTTGCTCCTAGGCCGCGAATTACAGCCTGGCAAAAGGGGTAGAGATGTCACTCAGCACCGGGTATTCAGGAGACAGGAAGAGAAGGTAAGTATAGAGAGCTGAGAAACTGAGTAATTAAGAAAGATAAAAAGAGAGAAAAGAAAACAAAACAAACAAATAATAAAAAAAAGATAACCCCCAAAGAAACAGAAAAAAAAAATAACAAGAAGAAAGAAATGCCCTCAGGAATTCCTCTGCATGTCTGCGCAAACTGAGGGGGTAGTTCCCAAGTCGCACAGCACTGCCCGGCCAGAATGGGCTCCCAACTCGAGAAAATAAAAAGAAAACAAAGAAACAGTTGAAAGCAAACAACGAAAAAAAAATCCCTGGGATCCCACCAGCATGGCAGCACAGGCTGGGAAGCAGTCCCACACTGGAGCGGCACTTTCCAGCCTACCAGGAAGAAGCAAAGATGGCACACAGAGCCAGGTATTTGAGGGAAAGGAGAGGATGGTGGTAAGAGGTATGGAAGAAATCAAAAGAAGCAGAAAAAAGCAACACCAGCAGCCAACAAATGGCACTCAGGTAGCCGGCCAGTGTGGGTGGGTGGAATCCAAGCAGCCCTGGGGTGAAGCCAGTGCTTCCCAGCTAAGAGATTGTGGCTGCATGAAGCAGAGGAGGCCAAGTGGGGGTGAAGAAGCATGGGGGGTGGGAAAGCATATATTGCTGGTTACCAGTTGTTCTGTCTCCTGCTGGAAGCTCCGTGAAGCTGCTTTCCTGTACCCCCTGTTCACCAATCTCCGATAGGAGTCCAAGATGGCGGATCCATGCTGGGTTAGCTGATAGGTGACCTCTGCATATATCTCTCCTCACTCTCTGTTCTCTGTCAGTTTTTTATTCCTTTTGGTGCCTGGCTGAGTTCTTTATCTCTTCATTTGATGCTTAGGGTTTCAGGATTGATGTTTTCTGTGTTTGGCTTAGTTTTTTGGATCTTTGCCGTGGAGGGATGGTGTAGTGCTTCTGTCTATAGCACCATGTTGCCAGGAACCTCATATATTCCTTTTATATTTAGTCTGTGGTGAAGTGATCTTAAGCCCAGGATAAATTTCCTTCTACCCTCTGAGAAGGAGTCCCTGGGTAGAACAAACGGTTAAGCACTCAACTACTAGCTGAAACATTGGTGGTTCGAACCCACCTGGAAGCACCTAGAAAGACAGACTTGGCAATCTGTTTCTGAAAGACCGCAGCCTTGCAAACCCTATGGAAAAGTTCTACTCCACAAAAATGGGCTCATCGTGAGTCAGAATCAACTTGACTGCACCCAACAACAATAGTCAGAGAAGGCCAGATTTTCTTCATCACTGCCAAGGTCATATGATAGTCCTCTTCTATCTCTTCATCTTTCCAGGTGACAGTGGCTCCCATCTGTCTCCCACAGGGCAGAGTCCTCATGGTCAACATGAGCAATCCTGAGTCATCCTCATATTGCTTTCCTGTCACATCTAGTCCTATTACATGGAGTGGATGTTGGGATATTTGTTGCCACTGAGTTGATTCTGACTCATGGCAATCCCACATGTGTAGATAGGGTTTTCAAGGTTGGGACCTTTCAGAAGCAGATCACCAGGCCTGTCTTCCTAAGCACCTCTGGGTGGGTTTGAACAGTTAACCTACTGGCTAGTAGTTGATTGCTTAAACGTTTGTGCCACCCAGAGACTCCTTGAATATTTGTTAGATGAATTAATGCATAAAATGGACACAGATGAGATCTGAAATGAATGTTTCCTGATTAACTGGTATGGCTTTCACTAAAAAATGCACATGGAAAACAAAAAATTGTGTGGTCTCTCATTTCT